GGGCCAAGTTGCCTAACCCTGCACCTATTTTCTCTGTTTCTATTTAAATAACTTGGCAACTTGATGATTTCCCCAGATCTTATCCATATTTTATGAGCATTTATATCTTAAGATAAAGTTAGTTACACGTTTTGGGATAAGGCCCTCACTGCAGAGAAAATAGGGTGTGTTTAAACTCGACACTAAATTCAAATGGTCTTAATTTGGTTTTGCCTTGTTCCACATGCAAGTGACCTCCCATCCCATTTCCCGAACCAGTGGAAATAGGATTGGTCAGAAATAGAAGCAGGACCTGGTGAGAAATTTACAGAGGAGGATGTGCAATGAGACCTTGTGTCGTTGTACACCAATCATTGAAAGTAATCATGCAAGTGCAGCAGGCATTGAAGAAGGCAAATAGTAATTGGCTGTCATGTTTCATTTGTAAAGGGCTTCACTGAGACCACACCTGAGGTATTTTGTGCAGTTTTGGTGTGCTTACCTGAGGAAGGATGTTCTGGCTCTAGGAGGACTGCAACAAAGGTTTACCAGACTGATTGCTGGGGTGACAGGACTGAATTGGTCAGGACTGTGTTCAGTGGAGTTTGGAATAAGTGGGATTTCATAGAAACCTATAAGATTCTAACAGGACTAGAGACGGTAAATGCAGGAAGGATATTCTCGATGACTGGGACATCAGAACCAAGGGTCACAGTCTAAGCATTCAGGGTAAACCATTTAAAACTGGGCTGAAGAGAAATTTCCTCACACAGAAACTGGTAAGCCTATAGAATTCTCTGATAAAAGTAGTTGAGGCCAAGACATTAAATGTTTATTTTCAAGAAGGAGTTAGATATCATTCTTGGGACTAAATGAATCAAAAGATAGGGGAGAAGAATCGTGTTCTACAAGAATATTAGGTGTTTGTTCATAACTACCACCAGCATTGATTTCCAGGTAGCAACAACAGTAAGAACTTACTGGTCTGCAGTGAAAGTATGGCCCTAATTTTGACATGGTAAAAGAAACTTCGCACAAAAAATTTATTTAGCTTTGAAAATTTTCCTTTGACGTCTCCTGGTCTCTTGTGGTGTAGCAGTATTGTACTTACGGTTGGGCAGAATGTCAGAGTTCAACTTCCATCTGTCGAGGAGGTGTGTCATAGCATGGCGCACGAGGAATCAGTGGGCTCATTAACATTTATTTTTCCTATTTCAATGTGATTTACAACACAGTACCACCTATAGGATATCCAGAAATAATAAAGTTAGGAAGCAGGTTGAGCAGCAAGTCTTGCATTTGAAGAATTCTTACAAATGGCAGAACAAGACGTATAACGCACAGATTACAACTCCTTTTAATTTTTTAACTGAAGCCAAAATAGAAAAATGCTGGGCCAGCAAATAATGATCCACGTTTACAAAGTTCGTTTTTCAGGCCCAGAAAGATTGCTTGGAATTAATTCTGAATTCATCATCATTGGCAATCACGCACAAACAAATATGATTGTCCACGTAGGAAAGTCCAGGTCACTAGGCAGGGGTTCTTTAGGTTCTTGTGTGGCTGATGAACCCAATCCTTGAGCCACATCTCCAACCACACATTTGGCGGGTATTTCTGGGAGTTGGAAGTGGACCTTGGCTTTGAACTCGTTGGCATTCCCTTCTCTGGTTCCTTTTCCTACTTTGTCTTGCCAATGGTTATTCCCAAAGAATTGTATCCCTTCATGCAAGAGCTTCCTCCAAATTGGTTTCTTCTAAATGAAGGTCTACCATGCATTGACATCTATGTTGCATTTCTTGAGGGGTGACTTCAGGGAGTCTTTGAAATGCTACCTCTGACCTCCTCTCAGTCAAGTGCCTTCCTTGAGCTGCACAAAGATTTGCTTTGACAGTCAGAACTCAGGCGTCCTAAGTATGTGACTGGCTCAGTGGAGTTGGTCAGATATTTGTGATCTTAATGCTGGTGCTATTAGCTGTTTCAAGGATACAGATTTTAGTACACCTGTCCTGCTGATGTGAGAATCCATCACAAACCTTGATGGTGCTTCTCAAGGATCTTGAGGTGGCATCTGTACATAGTCCAAGTTTCAGAGCTATATAGAAGTGCTGGAAGAAAGAATGGCTTATACTCAAGACTCATCATATCAGCATGGATGTTATTGTGCTCTCATTTGGAAGACTCTCATCCAGAAGCGACTCATCCTAAGCTGTCAGAAAGTGAGGCTTGCAGATTGGATGAGATGTTGAATCGGTACATAAATGTCAGCCCTAGATGAGAGAGAGCTTCCCAGGTAGGAGAAATGTTCCACATTAGCGAGGATTTCTCCATTTATCTTAATGGAGGGATGGACCAGATCTTGACCTGGGTCAGGTTGATAAAGGATTTGAGTCTTCTTGAGATTAAGGCTGAGGCCACCGTTCTGTATGCTTCTGCAAAGACATTTTGCAAGACTTGAAGCTCTTTTCTGAGAGAGCAGAGTTCCACAAGCAAGGTCGGTGTTGGTTTCTTCTTGGATTTCAACTGGTTAATGTTGAAAAGTCCTCCATCCATCCTGTAGACAATGTCCACACCGCTGGAGAGATTATTCTTGACAAGATGAAGAATGGTGGCGATGAAAATGGAGAAGAGTGTGGGGGCAATGATAGTTGGCAATCTTTGCTTGACCCCTGACCTGACCTCAAAGAATTCTGTCATATTAACATTGGTGAGGACCACCACTGGTATCTGGTCGTCAGAAGCTCTCCATGCCTGGCAAAGCACCATTGCCAATGAGGCAACGAGGAGGACTCATCAAAAAATAAAGGTGGAGTTTAAAGAAGAATGAGAGAAATGGTGACTGAGAATGCTAGGGAGTTGCAACTCCATGCTGTTACCTGGGGTTTCTTCAGTGCTAATAAGTCAATATATAGACCTAACACCTTTGGCCTCAAACCTGTGTGGAGTAAAGATGCAACCACTTTGAGATACAGAGAAAACATCAGCCTCCAATGGAGAGGATACTTCAAAGAACTCCTAAACCATGAAGCAGTTGTTAACAAGGTCAAGTTTGAGGAAATTCTCCATCATAAATGATCTTAGACTCTCAGCTAGTGTGGCAGAAGTTGACACTGCCATGAGAAGCATGAAGAATGGAAAAGCCACAGGAGAAAAGATGATTCTAGCGGGGATTTTCAAATTGGATAAGCAGAGCTTACCCAGTCATCTCCATCAACTGTTGCTGAAAATCTGAGACAAAGAAGAAATAACTTCATATTTATCTCAGGAATTCTGCCTCCAACACGGTCTTCAAGAAAGTAGACAAAGTGGACTATGGGAACTAGTGAGGAATCTCCCTACTCTCCATCACTGGGAAGATCATTGCACACATTCTCATTAGATGTCTTCTCCTAATCGTTGAGGAAACCCTTCCTTCCTGAAAGCCAGTGTGGCTTCCAACCAAACTGTGGAACTATAAACATGATTTTCACTGCTGGGCAACTCCTAGAGAAATGCTAGGAACAACACTCTTCATGGCCTTCATCAAACTGACTGAGGCTTTTGACTTAGTCAGTCGGAAGTGCTGTAGAAGATCCTGTCAAAAGCCGGCTGACCAGTGAAATTTGTCAATGTCCTCTATGTCCTCCATGACAGTTCTGAATTATCATACCATTAAAAACGTAGTTATACCTCATTCAACATTTTCAGTTGTGACAACAGTGAGAATAATGCACAAAACTGATGTTTGCATCAAGTTATCTATTCAATGCTAATTGTATTTGTGAAGACAGCAACAGCATACTGTATGGGGTATCGTATCAAATCTCCCATGTGAACCAGTTGCCTAATCCCTTGTATGTGATAGAATTTTGACCAGGAGAGAGGGGAAGTAAATATTGAACAGTGTATAGTACCAACGCAAATATAGCTCAAGATCCATCTGTGCACATACAGTTGCGCTTGTGATGTCCTGCCACTCCTATTTACTGCATATGTAAGCTTTTCACTCTGAAGATTGAACTCATGAATTGTATTTCAGTGAGCTCAAAAACTGTGATTGCCACATTCTTTTCCTGGGCATTACCAGCATGAAGATGTAGTGATGTCATCAGACTTACCAAGCAGACAGTCACTTTCAGTGGTGTTCACAAATACCTAAACTGGAATCTTTTTCTTTTGAAAATAGAAAATAAAAGATTTTTTACTCAGAGCAAATTATATATTAAGACACACATGGAGGTGTTGACAAAATCTGACCTATTCAGAAAAACGCTGAAAAACAACTTTAAAATCTAGTTTTAAAAATCCCCTGATTAAGTGTTTAACAGTGGATTATGAATACAAAATTATTTTTTTCAAAATCAATTGCATTGTTCACCAAATCTTTTTGATCCCATTATTATTAAAACCCTGGTCCCACCCCGACTGAACAAGATGTCTCTTTTTAAAGTGTTTCTCACAGTAATGTTGAAATAGGAATGTTGAAATTCTCACTGATTTCAGTGATGGTTGAAGAGCATCTGAGAGGAGCTATAACATACCCTGGGTTAGAGTCCTGGGTGATGAACACAACCTCAGGATTCTTCTATTTATCTGTGCGTGCCCAATATACTGAAAACTGTGGTCCGTTTCAGAAAGGTAATGACTGTGAATGCTGATAATTCAATCTCAACACATTCCTGCCCTTCAAAATATCCACCCAATTAATCTGTAAGCAAATGTTTCTGATGAAGCCCATTTTCAATCTTACAGAGGGATTTTGTGAATAATGTTGTTTAATGATTGGCCTGTTGATGCATTTTCATATGATTCCTAGAGCAGCAATTGCGTAGTATGCTGATTCCCCAGTGTTCAGCAGCCACCAAGGATTTAGAATTTTGATTTATTTTGTTGGTATGATTGATACCAATCAATATTAAACAAAGAAATGCTCAGAGCTCTGCTCAGCATGGATCAGGCACATTTGCTCATTGTTAGTTGTGTAGAATATGTATTTTGACCTTCAGCTTGAGAAATAAAAGCAATTTTCTTTTCTTTTCCAGTTACTGAGAGAAATTAGCAGAAAACGAAGAAGTATCCGTCTAAGGAGGCAAGCAGATGCTCTTAAGCCATACATTGCCGCCCACTTTGAGATCCTGCCCAATGAATTTACCCTTGGTGATCAGCTGTTTTACAATGGATTTGAAAATAAGCGTCTCCAAAGTGGCCAAGAATACGTTTTCTTTATTTTAGCGGTACTTGACAGCCCTGAATCTGTAAGTTTGATTAAAGTCATTTCAGTTGGGTCTTTTCAAAACGCGGTGCAGGTTCAATGAGCCAAATAGTCTACTCCTGCTTTTAATTCATAAATTCACAAGTGAAGGACGATCACTCGTCTTAATTCTATTAAATCCCATAGGATTCAAAACGATCAATTTCAGGTACCATCAAACATAATGTATTTATGACAAAGGTAACTATGCTGGACTTAAAACATCTCGCAATTAATTGATGCCCTAATAGGGTAAGGGAAATGAAGTATTCCAGTTGTGCTAACCTGTTTAACATTGGTTTGTAATTCTTTAGAACATTGAAATTTCAAGAGTGGAATAATGATAAGGTATCGACTTAAGCGTTTTGAATGACCTATTGTGCTGTCATCCTGCGCTTCTAACTTGGTGGTCATTTACTCTAATCTGCTATATGGAAAAGAACCAAGCTAATCCTTCCTGCAGAACAGAGGTTAACTGATATATTAATTGCGACACAAAATGCATTAAAATGATGCAGTTGTATGATGGATCTCCATGAGGATTGGATTACCATATCATCTTAACCTTGATGCTGACTTTTGCCTGAAATTAAACGAACCAAAAAAGTGAAGTATAAAATTTGTGATAACTATGATCTCCTTAAACCATAAAACATTTGGATTATCCAATCATTTTTTGTTACTTAGAATCATTGAAGTATCATTTGAGTGTTCTTCATTATTCATTTCAACTCCGCTAGCTAAAGTATTGGAGAAAATGTATTTGCTGCACTGTAGATGTGTACCTGGATGGTGATCTTCATCCTTTCTGCTTGCAGCCCTGTCAATTATGTTGGTTTTACCTCAACCATCTTGGATAACAGACTGATGAATTTTGTTTCTTTAGCCAGCTTGCTCATGTATATGTAATTATTGAAGTATCATTGTGAATTGTTGATAGAAGTTGATTAAGTTGCCTTTTCTTTGTCTGTGTTTACTCATTCTGTTTGAGCCTTGGAAACATACAGGTAAATTTTATTAAGCTATTAGGACTTAGAATGGAAATAGGTTTGTATACTGTTTAACTGTTGTAGTCTTAATGGAAGAAATATTCTAAACTACTTCAGAATTAACACAACCTCAGCTGACTTAAATCCAGAAATGTTGACTATTCCATCAGTGCTTTTAAAACTTGTCCTTAAAAACTTGCCTTTCTTATCTTCTGCAAGATTCCACACACTTCCACATGTAATATCTGTCCCATGTTTAGTACACCAGATAGGTGTAATCCTTTTGAGCATTACGTCATAAACCTTGACCACAGTAAGACCAAAGTTGATTTATCAAGTAGCAATAAAATCTCGGGATGCAGCTGAGTGAAACCTCCTTTCATGTTCAGATCTACTCCAGAATCAAGGCTGATCAGGAGACAATTACATTGCTCAAGTCCCAGGAAGAAGATATTGCATCTATTGGTATCTCACAACCTTTGCCAACATCTGTTATAAATCAGCTTAAAGTTGGTACTTGGCAGCTTAAGTACCACTGAGTAACACTAGTGCTGTCTAATGGACTGGTATTTCACAACACCAGTCAAGGATTTCCATCATCGTCATGAGCATAAAATTTGGTACTATTGGAAAGTCTTGTCTTAGTAACTAAGCAGCAGTCATCTAGGTCTCCCAACATTAGTGGCTATGTTAACGAATGGGTTGTCGAGGGACTGAGGTGGAAGATCTGGAAACATGAGGTTGACTTTGATTTCAGTTCATGAAACAATCTAGAACAAAAACGTAGCTTGGTAATGGTAATCAAGAAACTGTTTGGTTGTTGCAACAAGTCTCAACTGGATTTCTAATGCCCTTTGTCATAGGAAATTTCTAATTGTTACCCCTCTAACCTATGCATGATTGTTGCCGTCTGCAGTGTGGATGCCTAGTAAGCAACTCAGTCATATCAAATTGCTGCCAGAAACAATGAGAGATAAAACCAGACAAAACGACCAGCCATGGGCAAGACAAAACTGCACAAAGGCCAATTGCCTATGCAACAAACCTCTGGGTACCATGACTTTTCCTGCCAATAAGGACAAGGGCATTGGGCACCACCACCTGCCAGATCCCATCCAAGTCATGCTCCATCCTGACTTGAAAACATATCACTCTTCCTTCTCAGCCATCACCCTGGGACTCCTTCCAAATATCACTCTGGGTGTACCTACACCACAAGGACTGCAGCAGTTCCATAAGGCCACTTAACACCACCTCCAAGAGGGTAATTATCAATAAATGCCAGCCTTGCTAGTGCTAACCACATCCCATGAATGAATAACCCTAGCTATACCCCATTTAGCTTTATATTTCAGCAGGTCAGTAGATTGACTCAGAGTAATAAATTGCTCCCAACAAACTTCCACTGTAGTAACTCCCATATTTATCCGGGGAAGACTTTACACCTGGATTTTCTCATTCAATAACTGCCATTTGTCATTATTATTTAGTTTCTAATAACAAGGGGATGAAAGATTATCAGGGATATGCAGGAATGAGGAGTTGTGGTCAAAATCAGATCAGCCGTGACTTTATTGAATGTTGGAGCAGGCTTGAAGGGCTGAGTGGCCTACTCTTCATCCTTGTTCATATTGGTCTGTAAGGATCTCAAATAGATAAGATGTTTGGACCCAGAGTAAAGTTGATGCAGTAGCCATTGCAAGTTTCAGAGCCCTTGAAGGCTACCTGAGTAATCGTTATCTATGAAGCTGCTGGGTTCTTGTAAAGCATGTACTGTGCTTGTTGAAAAGACTATATAGAAGCAGTCTGTTGACTTGTAATATGATTGTCACTTCAAAGGCTGGGAGCTCATATGCTAGTGTCTTGCCTTCAAGTGCTTGAAATAAAGTGACTGAGCCCATATCTGCAGTATTGCTGCTGCTTCTGCCTGCCATGTTCTTCTGACAATATAGCATTGAGCGAACATCTGATCCCACCAATTACAAAGTGTACTTGGTACATATTCACTTCTAAGGTCATTCCGCCATGTAAATTGTATCTTATTCTGAACAAGCTAACATCAGAACATTTTGAATCCATAGTTCCCTGTGAGTTTCGATGGCTCCCTTTGAAGCAGTTTTTTCTTAATATGAGTTCCTTCATCAGCAGTAAAGCCTGGATGTAGCATGTACTAATGATTGATCCACAACCTTTGGATATTATTTCCACCATTCATTAACGTGAGTGACAAAGGTCTGGTTCTAAGGAGTAAGATTCAGGAATCCAGAATGAGAGCTGTGCTCAAAGTGTCGAACACAGTGAAAAGTTTTTGACACGCATTGGCTTTGAGTACAGTTTACCATCACACACCAGCAGACATTTGAGGAGCCAGTACAGCCAAGTCGTCCCAGAGGAATGGTCATTTCAATTGAAAAACTTTTCTTTTGTGGGCAGTCTTGTCGATGCATTCGTGTGTAGTAACTGCCCATGAAGGAAATGTGTTATTCAGTGGCAGTTAATGATCCAGGCAATTTGATAAATCTCCTTGTGGTTTTCATGGCACAGGAGCATAAGGTGGAATTCACTTGAACAAGTGGAGGTTTCCTCCCAATGATATTTGAAGACCTTGGACAGACTGCTTGCATTCACTCCATTTGATTGTCTGGACTTGACAGCTCAGGGTGATGAGGACTCTTCTGCTGCTGTGATCTAAACTAATCTGAAGAACCTAAACACCAACAATTTTCTGACTTTGATGTACTTGCTTTTATCAATGTGAAGGTTGAATGAATGGGGAGGAATGATTTGCTCTATGTGTAACGTTTTTTGTACCTTTTGAAAGATGTTTCCTACCAGGCCAGATTGGCAACGCTTCATTTTCTTTCAGACCCGGCAAGTCTTGGATCTTGCCTCACGATTAGATTTTGCAATTTTCTAGTTACAATTACTTCTGCACATTCCTTCCATCTACTCCCCAGAATAGTTAAAAACGTTGACATTCTGCTTCTGACTTGGACTGTGGTTTAGCAAAGCGAATGCAAATTTCATCATTGGGACAGTGTCCTAAACAGCTGCCACAATCCCAGTTGATTGGTAATACTGCAAAAGTTAGATCCCAGAATGGAACCTGGCTAGTTAGGTCATAAGTTTGTTTTTGCAGTTAGTTGCCATAATGGGTAGTCACTGAACATAGTCATCAAATTACTTGCACATGAGAAAAAAAAACAAGTTTCAACTTGTTTCCCAGCAATATTCTTTATCCCAATTCCAAGGGAATAACACCGCTTTCCTCAACTGTTTAATTTTTTCCTTAATCGACTGTTTCCGATTCTCCTTCTTCAACTGCTGAGACATTTTTTATGATTTCTTTCTAGTTCTGCTCACCTTGAACCGTCTTTTGGTTCTGATAGCCTAAATGTCTCTTTTTGTCCTGATAACATGAAAAGTTCTCTCTGAACTCCCTCATCTTGGAGACTTCATAACCTAAAAGCCGCTTACTTGGGTGAAAACTCCTGAACTGAAAACTTGAATGTTCTGCTAACATGAAACCCCACCCCTGAATGGAACTTCTGATTTTTCTGAACTGAACTCAAACTAAACTACTTTTGGCCTCTGATTTTTTTCTTTCATATTGTAAGTCATAAACTCAACAATGTAATCTCTCCATCAGTTAACACTGCAGGTACCCTGGTAAGGCATTTAACTAAATTACATGCCTCCTTTGAAATGATCTGTTTGGGGCACAACTCCAAATGACTTTCTGCGGACTGAAAGAAAAAATCACCTTCACAGAACTTGTTAAAAATCCAAATTAACAAATGCTATTAAGACATATTATAAGCATTTATCACAAAGTGAGAAAAATAATTTCTATGAAAAGTCACAGCATTTTATTAATTTTAATAATGGAAGGTTTAAACAACTGAAGTGAGGAAGTGCCTAGAACTTTTCCAGCTGGGACCCCTGCCTCAGTGAACAGTTTAGATACATAATGCGGTGCTACGCTGGAACAACTGTAAACTGTCCCTTTTCTTCATGAATTCATAATGAATCAAGTGTCTTGTTTTCAGATAATCCAAGTTCTGTATCATGTGTCATCATTGTGACAGAGAAATCAAGCTTTTACATTTTAATTGCGTAGCCCTAGTGCTCTTATCAACATAGGATGTCACGTGCGCACAATTAGTTGTCCATTGCTTTCAGCAACACTGTGGTACCTCAAGCAGGATTGGTACCTCCTGAAGTATGTACCTTCCCTCCACAGCACAACGGAGATCACTCATTCATGGATGGCTATATTATTACAGTTGCCCTCAACTCCTGAACACACTGATTGGGAAATCCAATATGGTTACTTCCACGTGTCACAATGTAGCAGCTCTGTGCTGATTTCCCAGTCCACATTCGTTATGCAAATCCTTAATTCCTCTTGTATTAAAACAAAAAGATGCAGTTCCAATTGTTCCTTCTAGTTTTGATTAAGCAGTTCTACTCATTCCTACTAATCTTTCGTGGCATTCTGACTCATGTTCCAGATGATGTATGCAACAAGTCCATACTCTGATCCTGTACTGTCAGCGGACCTTGAACCTCAGCCCATTAAAGATGAAGAAGAAGGATTGATATGGGTAGTTGGCCCTGTATTAGCTGTTGTGTTCATCATCTGCATTGTCATTGCTATCCTCCTGTATAAAAGGTAAGAAAATGAGTACTGATTTAGTGCAAAAATTATGGTCATCAATGCATTGCTATCAGGGAAGAACTGTGTTGTAAAGAGTCATGTATTAACAATGTAACCAAGGTTGCCACACTACTGAGGCACTGAATTGTAGCTTATATTTTCTAGTCAAACTGTTTAGCGAAGTTATTACATACCTTCATTATTGACGTCAGGTGCTTTGAGGTCATGTAGCTGGAACTGGGAGAGAGGTTCTGAAGAATTCTTGCTACAATCTACCTTGTAAAGAGTGTAAATAGCAAAGAAATAGTAATTAGTTTCCAGCTATCTCATTGAAGATTTGCAGGCTGTGTTCAAGGCGTTGATGCATTGGTGTCCAATAGATTGCTAATATGAATAAAAATAACAAAGGAGTTTAAATAGTTATGTGAGATTTTCAGACAGCACTTTGTAATTCAGTGAAAACTAATATCACAGCCAAAACAAGGAGTTTGCTGTTTGCCAATGCTGCTGTCTCCAATCATAGGGGCACTACAGGTTCTATCCACCTGACTGAAGTATTTAACCCTCCTAACATCTAAATTAATGTGAAGTAACAAATGGGAAGACTCTTGAGCAGATTCATAGAGCAGTTTTTCCGCCGCCTCCGCCTCCACACTTACTTCTTTAACCGTGAACCTAACCCTCCCTCTACTGACCCCTTCTCCTGCTTCCAACACACCCCATCGTCCTGGACACCACCCCAAGGCCTCCTACCCTCCCTCGACCTCTTCATCTCCAACTGCTGTCGAGACATCAATCGCCTCAACCTCTCCACCCCTCTCACCCACTCCAACCTCTCCCCCGCAGAACATGCAGCCCTCCACTCCCTCCGCTCCAATCCCAACCTCACCATAAAACCCGCGGACAAGGGAGGCGCAGTTGTAGTATGGCGCACTGACCTCTACATCGCCGAGGCCAGACGCCAACTCTCCGACACCTCCTCCTACTGCCCGCTTGATCATGACCCCACCCCTGAGCACCAAACCATCATCTCCCAAACCATCCACAACCTCATCACCTCAGGTGACCTCCCACCCACAGCCTCCAACCTCATCGTTCCCCAACCTCGCACTGCCCACTTCTATCTCCTTCCCAAAATCCACAAACCTGAATGCCCTGGTCGACCCATTGTCTCCGCCTGCTCCTGCCCCACCGAACTGATCTCCAACTATCTAGACTCCATTTTCTCCCCCTTGGTCCAGGAACTCCCTACCTATGTCTGTGACACCACCCACGCCCTCCACCTCCTCCAGAACTTCCAATTCCCCGGACCCCAACACCTCATCTTTACCATGGACGTCCAGTCCCTCTACACCTGCATTCCCCATGCAGATGGCCTTAAGGCCCTCGGCTTCTTCCTGTCCCGCAGGCCCGACCAGTCCCCCTCCACTGATACCCTCATCCGCTTAGCCGAACTCGTCCTCACACTCAACAACTTCTCTTTCAATTCCTCCCACTTCCTACAGACAAAGGGGGTAGCCATGGGTACCCACATGGGCCCAAGCTACGCCTGCCTCTTTGTAGGTTACGTGGAACAATCCCTCTTCCGTACCTACACCGGCCCTAAACCCCACCTCTTCCTCCGTTACATTGATGACTATCGGCGCCGCCTCGTGCTCCCACGAGGAGCTCGAACAGTTCATCCACTTCACTAACACCTTCCACCCCAACCTTAAGTTTACCTGGACCATCTCTAACACCTCTCTCCCCTTCCTGGACCTCTCTGTCTCCATATCGGGCAACCACCTAGAAACCGATATTCATTTCAAGCCCACCGACTCCCACAGCTACCTAGAATACTCCTCCTCCCACCCACCTTCCTGCAAAAATGCTATCCCCTATTCCCAATTCTTTCGCCTCCGCTGCATCTGCTCCCAAGATGAGGCATTCCACTCCCGTACATCTCAGTTGTCCTCGTTTTTCAAGGACCGTAACTTCCCCTCCTCGGTGGTCGAGAACGCCCTCAACCGTGCCTCCCACATCTCCCGCACCTCATCCCTCACACCCCGTCCACGCAATAAGAACCAAAAAAGAATCCCCCTCGTCCTCACGTACCACCCCACCAACCTCCGGATCCAACGCATCATCCTCCGACACTTCCGCCATCTGCAATCCGACCCTACCACCAAAGACATCTTTCCCTCCCCACCCTTATCTGCTTTCCGGAGGGACAACTCTCTCCGTGACTCCCTTGTCCGCTCCACACTCCCCTCCAGCTCCACCACACCCAGCACTTTTCCCTGCAACTGCAGGAAGTGCTACACCTGCCCCCATACCTCCTCCCTCATCCCCATCCCAGGCCCCAAGAAGACTTTCCACATCAAGCAGATGTTCACCTGCACATCTGCCAATGTGGTATACTGCATCCGCTGTACCCGGTGTGGCTTCCTCTACATTGGGGAAACCAAGCGGAGGCTCGGGGACCGCTTTGCAGAACACCTACGCTCGGTTCGCAATAAACAACTGCACCTCCCAGTCGCGAACCATTTCAACTCCCCCTCCCATTCCTCAGACAACATGTCCATCCTGGGCCTCCTGCAGTGCCACAACGATGCCACCCGAAGGTTGCAGGAACAGCAACTCATATTCCGCTTGGGAACCCTGCAGCCCAATGGTATCAATGTGGATTTCACAAGTTTCAAAATCTCCCCTCCCCCTACCGCATCCCAAAACCAGTCCAGCCCGTCCCTGCCTCCCTAACCTGTTCTTCCTCCCACCTATCCCCTCCTCCCACCTCAAGCTGCACCTCCATCTCCTACCGACCAACCTCATCCCGCCCCCTTGACCTGTCCATCCTCCCTGGACTGACCTATCCCCTTCCTAACTCCCTACCTACACTCACCTTTACTGGCTCCATCCCCGCCTCTTCGACCTGTTTGTTTCCTCTCCACCTATCCTCTCCTCTATCCCTCTTCTATCCGCCTCCCACTCTCTCCCTATTTATTTCGGAACCCCCTTCCCCTCCCCCTTTTCTGATGAAGGGTCTAGGCCCGAAACGTCAGCCTCTCTGCTCCTATGATGCTGCTTGGCCTGCTGTGTTCATCCAGCCCTGCACCTTGTTGTCTCGGATTCTCCAGCAGTTCCTACTATCTCTCATACTTCTGTGCAGGAAGAGTTGTGTCACAAAAACTTGATTGAGTTTTTGAGGAAGTGACAAGGATAATTGATGCGACTGGGTGGTGGATGTTGTCTGCATGGACTTTAGCAAGGCCTTTGACAAAGGACCCCATGGCAGGCAGGTACAAAAGGTGAAGTCATTTGGGATCCGTTGTAAGCTAGCAAGATGGATACAGAACTGACTTAGTTATAGAAGACATAGTGTAACGGTGGAAAGATGTTTTTCAGACTAAAGACCTGTGACTAGTGGTGTTCCACAGGGACCAGTGCTGAGATCTCTGTTGTTTGTAAAATATGTAAATGATTTGGAGGAGAATGTAGGTGGCCTGATCAGTAAGTTTGTAGACAATACAAAGTTTGGGGGCATTGCGGATAGTGAGGACAATTGTCAGAGGATACAGCAGGATATTGATAGACTGGACACTTGGGCCAAGAAATGGCAGATGGAGTTTAATTTGGGCAAATGTGAGGTGATGCATTTTGGAAGATCTAATGCAGGAGGGAAGTATACAGTAAATGGCAGAACCCTGGGTTGCAACAACATAGAGAGGGATCTAGACATACAAGTCCACAGTTCCCTGAAAGTGGCAACACAAGTGGATAAGGTGGTCAAGAAGGCATATTAACATGACTGCCTGCATCAGACGGGGCATAGAGTATGAAAACTGGCAAGTCATGTTGCAAATATGTCGAATATTCATTAGGCTACATCTGAAATATTGTGTACAGTTCTGGTTGCCACACCACAAGAAGGATATGGATGTTTTGGAGAGGGTATATCTACGGTTTACCAGAATGTTGCCTTGTTTGAACGTTGTTGGCTATGCAGAGAAACTCAACAAACTTAGTTTGTTTTCACCTGAACTCGAAAGATGAGGGGGACCTGATCGAAGTTTGCGGAATTATGGGAGGCATGGAGAGAATGGATAGTCAGAATCTTTTTCCCAGTTTAGAAATGTCAATTACTAGGCGTCATAGATTTAAGAGAAAAGTGGGTTAAGTTTAAAGGAGATGTGAGAGACAAGTTTTTTTACACAGAGGGTATTAAGTGCCTGGAATGCATTGCCAGAGATGGTAATGGAGGTAGCTGCAATACCAACATTTAAGAAGCATCTTGACAGACATATGAATAGAGGGATATGGACTGCGTCTGGGGAAAAAGGTTTGTGGTTTGGAAACATATCATGTGTTGGCAGTCATCGTGGGCCGAAGGACCTGTTCCTGTGCTGTACTATTCTTTGTTCTTTGATGACTGGTAAACATTTAAGGATTGCAAACTGTGCGATCACTACCTTCACTAGAAAGATAATTAAGTATGGCATTTCAGTATACTGTGGCCATAAGCGAATGTGACATTAGAATTGAAATATATTTCTGTTGAGGCACGCATGTTACTGTTTTCTTGGCCTGACCTTTAGTCCTTCATTATACTGCTATTAGAAAGCGTTAACTGCACTGATGAACTGTCAGTTCCTAATTTGCATGTTAAGTAATATGTTTCCTGCCAGGGAGACATCTGCATTGAAGCAAGTATGTTGCCATGGTTATTGCTGTCTGAGTCGGAAGCTAACGCACCAACCTTTCTTTTTTTTTTATCCCCTGTTGCAATACAATGGGACAGCAAACCGGACAGGTAAGCAAAGGTGGTATAAAGGAAGGTTGGGGGAGTGTAGAAGAATGGGGAAAGCGACACCTAAGTTTTACACTGAGAATTGTTTGATTTGACACAGACTGGTGTATGCGCAC